TTTTTGTGTTTCAATTGTTTCTCCATATGTTTTTTTTTCTTTCTTTCTCTATTGTCATTGATATTCTTTACTGTTTACATAATTTAAAACTTGTTCCATCTTAACTATTATAGATATCAACTTAAAACATAAATTATGTATCTGCAATAATCAAGTTTTCAAAGAGAAAATTAATAAATTATTAAGTTATAATTACTAAGTCATATATCTCTGTGTATTATTGCAATTTGAAAGATGAAAGCAATTTTTGCATGTTAAATTTTTAGGTGTTAGCAGGCTTCTGTCTTGGAAGGAGTCTGCATCTCATCAGTCAGAGTACATCAGTGTCCAGCATTAGTGTGACGTTCACTGGCCTGCAGCCATTACTTTTGCTCAACAAAAATGTCATGTGATGTGACAGGCAACAAAGCCCACTTTGCAGCACAGAGCAAATAAGAGAATGGTGTCCTTGTTGTAAAAAAAAAAAAAAAAAAAAGGCTGGACATAGATGTAGAGCCAAAATGAACCTGGTGTAAATCTGATGTTTAAAAGAATAAAAAATAAACTCAAAGAAATAGTTTCCCGGGAGGTGTAAGATGATCAGAGTGGAATTATACTAAAAGTTCTCTGTGAAATGGGATGGAAAGGTTCATTTTATGTTCTGTTATCCAGGTCACCGCCCTCACAGTGGTAGAGTGCCAGTTACTGTACTTTATCTGAACTGGCAGGAAGCACACACATAGCCTGTTTTCCTTTGCAGTGGCATGTGTTTCTCACCTGATCCCTCCTGGCTCTGTCCAGACAACACAGACTTGTTATTTGCACTGCTCTGGATAATTATTGCTTGCCAATGGCAAGGAATTTTTTTTTGTCCACAATTAAATTGAACTGGTCAGAAAAAGAAAAAGAGAAAAAAACAAACAAACAAACAAAAAAACTAATTGACCTTTAACATTTGAACTTCACTTCAAGGCTTTGTTTCTTCAAGGGGGGGAATTGGCTATTTTAAACTCAAATTAAAAAATTATGTTTATAATGGCTCTGTGTGTGTTTTTCAGACCTGTTGGGAAAAGGAAACTGTGATTCATGCCTGTACTATGCCTGTCTCTTTGTTTGTGGATTTCCTCTCTTTGGTTAATCCTGCTCTTCCACGGTGGAGAAAGGTTTCCGTGAAGAATCATTAACCCTCCTCTGTTGATGATCGATTAGACTTTTATAAAGTTAAGCTTTTATACATATAAAGCGAGAAAATTGATATTTTTTGATAAACAACAAAAATATGACATTTACTTTGTTCCATACAGCTATTTTCAAAGACATTATTGCAAAATACACCAATGCCATCTTATTAGCTGTTAGAATCAGCTGTTCATCCTTTCATCATACTGGGCTGATCTGACTCTTTATTCCTTATTAGGCCATGACTCAGTTTCCTGCTTACGGATTATCCAAACTGCTGCTGCAAGACTGGTAATCAAGATGCAGTTTTCATGCATCTTCTGCTTCAATTTAAATTAAATGTGTGATACAATGCCATGGTGACATTCTGATATGTCAGCTGCATGCATTAACTAAGCTGTGCATTGGGTGGATTTTAAGTTTGTTTCTCTCCACCAGAAGTGAAAATATTCAGCCCAAGTTAATCGTAGTAATAATTAATTACAGTAATTAATATAAGTTCTAATGAACTCACGCAATGTAACTGACACTACTACTATTTTAATTGAAAAATATTACATTTCAATCAGTTTAATTATTTTTAGAGATCTGCTCTTACAAAAACAACTCTAACAAAAAAAAAAAAAAAAAAAAAAAAAAACTGACAAACTTTTTAAAGCACAAAACCAAAAA